CGCGACCCACAGGTTGAGAACCGCTGCTCTAGAGAGCTTAAACTAGAGTCTATATATTCTTCAACTCCTAGTACAGCTAAGGATGTATTAACAATGGGGATTAAGAAAAGTCTACCTACTGAATGTCAGAACTCCATCTCCTTTTTCTTGTCAGTTCTGAGTAAGCTGACAATCTTATATCTACAGATCAGGAAAGTACAGTATTTCTTTTCCAGGAAACTGACCACTCCATGAGTAAGGGTCTACAGATAGTGACAAAGTGGCCCCGCTCCTACCAGATTACCTTACTGAAGCAGTTCTCAACCTCTGGGTCGCGACCCCTTTGGCAGTCGAACGACCCTTTCACAGGGGTCGCCTAAGACCATCCTGCATATCAGATATTTACATTACGATTCATAACAGTAGCAACATTACAGTTATGAAGTAGCAACGAAAATAATTTTATGGTTGGGTCACAACATGAGGAACTGTATTTAAAGGGCCAGAAGGTTGAGAACCACTGCCTTACTGCAAAGCCTCTTAGCCTATAAGCCCCACCCATAATTAGAGCTGCCAAGAATTAGTGCCTCACCCTCAATAAGTCCCAAGAGTCTTTAGATATTCAAAGAATATCTGTATCATGAGATATAGAAACCAAAACAATAGCAAAATAATACCAACAAAACAGGGTGGAAGAACTCATAGAAAACAGAAACAGTGCAATAGAACAGGGGTTAGCACACTTTTTACATAAAGGGACAGATAGTATATATTTTAGGCTTTTCATGCCATATATGTTTTGCATACAAATTCTTGTTTTTTCTTTAACCCTTTAAAAATGTAAATACCACTTCTACCTTGCAGACTGCACAAAAACAAGATATGGGCCAGATTTTCCCTGTGGTTCATAGTTTGCTAAACTCTGGATAGAAGAAAGCTTTTTAAAAAATAAGTATCAGTAATATTTATAGAGAGGTAAGCTAAGTGCCTTCAAAAAGGAAGAACAGAAAATAAAAGCTCCTAGACATTAACATGATAGCAATAAATTTTATGTGAAGAATTGGGCTTAGAAGATAAAATAGAAATTTTCCAGATCAAAAAGACAAAGGGAAAATAGGAAAGAACTTTAAAAAAAAAAGGTCAGTATGTAAGAACCAACTTCTGATATCCATATTAAGAGACTAGAGAAAATAAGGGAAAGGAACATAGCAAAGAAATAATTTTCAGAAAAATGCTCAGAATTAGAGGGCATAATTTTCTGATTGAAAGGACTCAATTAACTTATTTTTAATTAAACTGATTATTTCTTTATTCTAGTCAATTATACTTTTCAACTCCAAAATTTCCAATGTGTTCTTTCTTTAAAAGTGTGCAATTCCACTCCTAGTTATATATCCAAGATAACAAAAATTTTGTATTCATACCAAAACTTGTACACAAATGTTATAGCACTATTGTTTATAATCGTCCGAAGATGGAAACAACCTAAATGCCCATTGACAAAATGTGGTATATCCATACAGTGGTATATTATTCAGCCATAAAAAGGATCGAAGTACCAATGTGCAATACAAGTAACCTTGAAAACATCATGCTAAGTGAAAGAAGCCAGATACAAAATACTGAATATTGTATGACTCCAGTTACAGGAAATGCCCCAAATAGGCAAATCTGTAAAGACAAAGTAGATTAGAGGTTGCCTGGGGTTAGGGAGAATAATTGGGATAACTGGGAGTGACTAATAATGGGTACTGGGATTTTTTTTGGTGAAATAAGAATGTTGTATAATAGTGGTGTGGGTTTCACAACCTTATAAATATACTAAAAACCACTGAGTTATATGTTTAATTTTAATATTTTTAGCAAATCAAATCCAACAATCTATAAAAAGAATAATGCATCATGACCATATGTGATTATCCTAGGAATGAAAGGCAGGCTCAATATTCAAAAATTTGCCAGTATAATCTACCACATTAACAGTCTAAAGAAGAAAAACTACATGAGCATATGAATTGGTGCATATAAAAGATTTTTGTAAAATTATACATTCACTTATGATAAAAACTCATTAAACTAGAATAAAGGTCATCTACATAAAACTAACAATATAATGCACGAGGTGAAAAATAGTCTGTGTGGCTAAGAAAAGTTTTGGAAAATATATTTTTTTGCCTTTCAAAATAGAATTCATATAACATTTTGGGATGTTGAGTTATCAGTAGTCAGCAGAAGTATGCGATTTGGTTACAGAACTACTTTCGTACAATGTATTGAGTATAACCTTGTTCATAATAATTAGTTTGATTAAAGGAATATATGTGAGTTTGATTAAAGGAATATAAACCAATGACACGTAATTGATTTTTCAGTCTTCTATCTTTTCCATTAGATATTTAGCTTTTATTTTCAAAGTTATATCTATTTTATTTTCTTCCTGTATTTTATAGATGTATTCGACACAAAAATGATTGGGGAGCTCTTATTTTAGTGGATGACCGCTTCAGGAGTAACCCAAGTCGATATATATCTGGTAAGATTCTCAGTTTGGCTTAGAGCAGTGATGGCGAACCTTGTGAGCTCGGCGTGTCAGCATTTTGAAAAACCCTAACTTAACTCTGGTGCCATGTCACATATAGAAATTTTTTGATATTTGCAACCATAGTAAAACAAAGATTTATATTTTTGATATTTATTTTATATATTTAAATGCCATTTAACAAAGAAAAATCAACCAAAAAAATGAGTTGTCATAGGTTTGCCATCACTGGCTTAGAGTAATAAATTAATAACAGTCTTTAATGACTTCTATTTTTAAAGATAAAGAATTGGATAGAGAATTTTTAAGTTAAATGTATTGGGGTGACATTGGTTAATTATATAGGTTTTAGGTGCACAATTCTATGCTATATCATCTGTATATTGCATTGTGAGAATTTGAATATTTAGATCAAACATGAAAAGTCAATATTGAAAGGAATTCTAGCCTTTTAGTGCTTATGTGTTTGCAAAACAATCTTTATAGAGGAGAATCTGGTTAGTTATCAACATAGTATTAATCAATTAGGATCCTTCAATTTCAGAGAATATGGGATTTGACTCAGTAACACTAATAATTTATTTAGCATTGTCAGGGGTAAAAGCTGTTCTACAGAAATGACTTTCTAAGAAATATTAAGCTTTTACATTTAAGCACATCTCCTTTTGTTGCTTAGGATTCTTTATTCTTTCATTCTGTGTTATGTTGAAGTTCGTTGTATTTCTTGGTTTGCTTGTCTAGAAATGCTTCAGTTATTATAGGGTTTATGTTAGAGCTCATATTTTCTAAAAGGAAAAACACTATTGCATGCCCCAAAAATCAAATAGTCATTTCCCTCCCCCCCATTCAAATGAACAAATATTATGTCCTATTCAGGTGGTCCCTGACTTTCATTGGTGTGACTTAGGATTTTTCTACTTTACAATGGTACAAAAGTTTTACACTTTGAATAGAAACCATGCTTTGAATTTTGAATTTTGAACTTTTCCTGGGATAGTGATATGTGGTAGGATACTCTCTGGTGATGCTGGGCATTATAAAATAGGTTTCATATTAGATGATTTTGACCAACTGTAAGCTAATGTAAGTGTTCTGAGCACATTTAAGGTAAACTAAGTTAACCTATGACATTCGGTAGGTTAGGTATTTTAAATGCACTTTTGACATACAATATTTTCAACTTACATTGGGCTTATTAAGATGTAACCCCATCATGAGTTGATGAACATCTGTAGTCTTTATTTTGCAGTAACACAATCCCTTTAGAGGCAATACCAGGAACCCATCAGTTATTGAAGAACTGTTGGAAATATTTGCATCTTTATTATTATCTTTAATGCTAGAAAGTTCATACTATACTATAATGAAAAGGTTCTAAATTTTAAATTTGTTTCAAATTAGCTTTCTATGAGTATGGACTATACTATTTCCATTTCAGAGCCTAATTACTATATTTGGTTTGATATCAAAACATATCCACCTTGGATGGATTAAAGCAGCAAATGTTGCGTTATTAGTCTTGCTTTTGAATGTAAAGCAAGCAATTGTGCTTAGGTCAAGACATAACTAAAAGCAAAATGTTAAGTGCTTATGTTTAGTCAGCAGGTGGAGCTCATATTCTTTCAAATTTCAAAAGTAAACTGACATTTTACACTGAAAAGGCTTACTTTGATTACAAAATGATCAAAATGGAAGAGGTAACTATAGTGCTAAAATTTCTTCATATTATTAGGTGGTGTAATTATTTTCTCCTAGCAACCAAAAATAAAGAACTTTAAAGGAAATTCTTATTTAATTTTTTAAATTTTAAAATCTAGAACTTAATCTTTTATCTTATAGTTCAGATTTGTTGAGAGATTTTTTTTTGAATTAAATATTTTTTATTTCTGTCTGGTTTTAATTTTTTTTTTTCTTGAGACTCAAAGTGTGAAATTTTTTCTTATCTGGGCAATAATAGCACAAAATACAAATTTCTTTTGATGACTGATATCCGTTTAAATTCAATTTTTATACATATAGACTGATATAAAAACTTCATTAAAAAACAAATAAAGGAATGTATTTGAAATCAAAGATAGTAGTCACCATAGTGACTTTTTATTTTTTATTTTAAAAATATTTTTCATTGATTTTTAGAGGGGAAGAGGGAGAGAGAGAGGAATCAAGCCTGCCACCTGGGCATGTGCCCAGACTAGGAATTGAACTGGCAACCTTTGGTTGCCCAGGACAATACCCAACCAACTGAGACACACAAGCCATGGCCACAGTGACTTTTTAAATTACTCCGAAAGGTGATGATAATTTTAGTAACATTAGTAGAGAAAATTTATTTTTTTAAAGTTTGAATATCTGATTTTGAATTTCATTCTGAAGTGAGTCTTACTATACAGCCCCTTAGATTCAATTATGGTTCATTTGTATGTAGTTTTCATATGTCATAGATCAATTTTTTTCCCTTACAACTTGATTATTTGTATATTTTTAAAATAATGTAATATTTAGATAGGACATGCTTTACTCATAAAACTGTGTTATTCCTTTTGGCCCCCAGAGTAGTTTAAGGTATATTTGGAATTAGGGGGGGAAAAGGAACAAAAAACCTATGAGACTGAAATCTTGAATTTATTTTTGCAAAAGGAGTGAAATTTAGAAAGTAAGTATGCAAAATTGTGTTGTTTACAACTTCTAGTTTTCCTATAATGAAAAGGCAGCCAGTTTTTGTGGGGAATTGTGAAATTAAATTTGCTTCATTCCCGAGTTACTCTAAAGTGACAAAAATTCCGCCCTTCCTCACTTTACTCTCATTGCCTCTTTCCTCTCTCCAGTTGACAATCGTTGCATATAAAGAGAAATGTTACTGATATATGAGCATATTGTACATATGACGGTAAAAAGGCAGGAAAAGCATTGAGAACCATTCTATGTACTCTAAATTCTAGATTACTTCATTAGAAAAATTATCCAAGTTTTTCTTAATACATAATATCATCATAACCAAATATCATAAATAATATCATAAAATAACCGAAGTTTCTTCCCTGGGTGTACTTTTTCCTTAGGACTTTCTAAATGGGTACGGCAGCAGATTCAGCACCATTCAACCTTTGAAAGTGCCCTGGAATCTTTGGCTGAATTTTCCAAAAAGCACCAAAAGTTCATTGATGTATCCAAAGAGGACAGAAAGTCCATACAGGACAGTCAGTCTACACTTGAAGTGGCTTGTTTGAAGGACAATACCTCACCTTACTTTTTAGAAGCAGCAAATCATCTATTACCAGAAAATCCTAGGGAAGGTAAAGCAAAAATGTGTGTCTAAGGACTAAAATGTTGTAAAATGAATAACTAAAAGTTCATCTCTCCCAAGTGACATCACCTCCAGGAAGGACAAATGTATGAAAAGCTTTGTCCATTTTCATTTGATAGAAAAGTCTTCCGTTATATTTAGTCAAGTGATATTTTTGTGTTGTAGATTAATGTCCTTAAATACCTTGGTTTGTAATGTAAAGTATTATTATAAATCAGTGAAGTAGTAAAGTATATTGGAATGGGAACAAACTTTTGTCAGGAGAGCTGAGCACATTTTCAGATTTTCCATTAACAAACTTTGCTACTACTCCCGGCTGGCATGACTCAGTGGTTGAGTGTTGACTTATGAACCAGGAGATCATGGTTTGATTCCCCAGTGTGGGGCCTGCAGGAGGCAGCCGATCAATGATTCTCTCTCATCATTGATGTTTCTATCCCTCTCTCTCCCTTTCCCTTCCTCTCTGAAATCAATAATAAAAATATATTTTAAAAAATAACAAAAACAACTTTGCTACTAACTAGCTTTGTGACCAGGAGCAAGTCACTTAACTTTTTTGAGTCTTAATAGAAAAAGGATTATCTGCATACCTATCCCTCAAAGTTGGATTGTAAAGATTTAATAACGTAAATATTTATAGCATTGTAAAGTACTATGCAAATGCTAGGTGTTTTTCTAAAGGTTATATTGAAAATTGGTCTCACTTATAGGTCTTTTTCTTACATGAATTTCTTAGTTTAAGGAAATGAAGCCATGTATTCTAAATGATAAAAAAATATTTCAAAATATATTAGAATATAATGGTCAATATCAGGGATTGGCAAACTATGGCCTCTGGACCAAATTTGGCCTGCTATCTGTTTTTTTAAATATAGTTTAATGGAACACTGTCACATTCATTCATTTACATATTATATACAAAGGTGGAGTTGAGTAATTGTACTTATTACACTAGAACAGCACAATTGAGTAGTTGTGACAAATACAATAAGACCCACAAAACCAAAAATATTTGCTGTCCGGCCTGTGATAGAAAAAGTTTGCCAAACTGTGTGTGTGTGTATATATATATATATATATATATATATTTGGTATTATTTTAGTTGTTTTAATGAATATATGATAGATTAATATATCAAATTTTAAATATTTTATAGTATATGCTTCTGTCTATATACATAAAAACCTAAGCGACCATTACAAATGGACGACTGGACTACCGGGCCGGTAGCTATGACTCGCACTGATCACCAGGGGCAGATGCTCAACACAGGAGCTGCCCCCTGGTGGTCATTGTGCTCCCACAGCCAACCTCCCGTGGCCTGCCAACCTCCTGTGGTCCCTACCCCTGGCCAGCTGGCCCCGATCGCCGGCCAGGCCGAGAGACCCCACCTGTGCACGAATTCATGCACTGGATCTATAGTATACAATAAATGTCCTAGTGAATTCAAGGTAATTATATTGGTAATCAGGAAACCTAGGTTTTAATTCAGGTCTGAGTACTAACCAGTTTTATATCTTAGTTTGTGTAGTGTCAGTTTCCTTAAGGGAATTAGTCTAGGTCAGTAACTAGTTAGTGGATTTAAAAAGTAAATTGTTACAGCCTGTTCCCTCCATTATTCAGCCCTCTTCCTCTTTTTACTCCTTTTCTCATTCACTCCTGAGGTTCCTGGAGAGGGATTTGAAAATATACCATACAGCATTATAACTTGGGTTAGGACTCACTGGAGACATAAGGTTCTTTTCAGAGTTAATATTTTGTGATTTACATTCTAAGATGGAAGTCCTGCTACTGGTTGTGGGCTTAGAATTTTGTCTCCTTTACAGTTATTGTAGTATTTCTAACAAAAATCATTTTGATAAAATAATTATTATGCTAGGAACAGAAAGTTAACATTCTTACATTTTTGTACTCATAGATGATCCAGAATTATTGGAAGAGTCTGGCCAGCCAATGGAAGCAGAAAACATTGGGATTTCCAGATCCACAAGCCCAACCTTCAGCAAACAAACAAATAGAGTTAGCTGGTCTAGTTCTAATTCTTTGGGACAGTGTTTTTCTAGTAAAATTCTGACTACAACACCTAAGTTTAGGTCATCAGAGGACTGTGCCTCTAGTTCTTCCACTTTCAAAACAGAAAAGGATTGTGAAACTGTTTTGCCACTCACTGATAAATTTGAGTCCTCATCTCTCACATCATTTGAACCATGCCCTCAGTCAGAAACTGTTATTCCATCAATAAAGATTGAGGCTGCTCTTCTTAAAAAAGATCATTCCGAACAGCTACTCTGCTGTAAAGAAGCTCTGGATCCAGACCTTGAATTATCTCTAGTGAGTGAAGAAGATAAACTTTCTACTTCAAATAGAGCTTTTGAAACAGAAGCAGAAGATGAATCTATCTATTTTACACCTGAACTTTATGATCCTGTAGATACAAATGAAGAAAAAAATGAACTAGTTGAAACTGATAGAGACAATAGATTGGCCAATAATTCAAATTGTATTTTAGCTGAAGATCTTTTTGAAACTAGGACTACAAAAGAAGTAGATTCAGTCAGGAAAATGAAAGTTGAGGATTGCCCAGACACAAAGTTAAATAGACTCATGCATATTGAAGAAAGTGAAGTTGATGATATTGGTAATAATATAAAAGCAACTCATATAAATGAATTGGAACTGGGGAAAACTCATGAAATGGATATAAAGGACTTTAAACAGTCTCCTCCCCAAAATAAAGGTGTGTTCCCTGGTATTAGATGATAATACTTAACTGTATTATTGTACTTATATTAAACTCTTATTATAAATGATAACTTATACATTAGCAAAGTATAATTTTTTAAAATTTGAGATACATTTTTTTACTTTAATTGCATTAGAGTTTTAAAAGTATAGTAAGTTCTGAAATATAAGTTTTACTGTTCTTGAGTTTTGATAAAGAGATTCATTCAAAATATTTTCTTTCAACAGTCTTCTTAGCTAAGTGCAATTCAAAATTAATCAGTCTAAAAGATAATAGTTGTCTAGGGCATTTTAAATTTTACATAAACATTTATATATTGTACTTTTCTTCATCCATTTGTTTTCATCCAATACATAAAAATTAACAGCAGTGTAAATCAGTAATGTTTTATTATAGATTTTACCTCAAATTAGTCTGACATTTCTTTTAGAAATCAAAGTTTTCTTAGAAATTTTATTCCTGCATTTAACTGTCTAATAATAATTAAGAATTAAGGAAGAAAACTGCATGCATTTTAAATTGACGTCTTGCATTTGTTTGTTTGATAAACTAAAATCAAGCATGTTTTAAGCAAACTTATGTAAAGTTATAAAATGCCAAATGAAGGACTCCGAATTTTCAATTCTGATTATCTAGCTTCATTATCATTGGGAGGAAAAGTGACATGTTTTAGCATAAAGGCTTTAATTTTGCAACTATTAAGATAAAAAACTTCATATGTAAATTTGATAAGTAAATGTAAACATGTAACTGTAGCTTAAAAATGTTCCCTTACAGCTCAGTAAGTCTTTCGGTAAGTTTTGACTAGGTTTTTGTGAATGGAGCTATACTTCTTATCAAAAGTGGTTATAAAAGAAGCTCTCCTCTGACATCATTCCAAAATTACATTCACTGATCTTTTTCTAAGAAATATCTATTATTTTATGGACATTTAGGCTTCTTGTGAGTGATTTGAATTGAAATTTTACGAGCTGTTTAAGTTGTGGAAGTGGTTTATTATTTTCAAGTCAGAATTCCCAGCAATCAAGTTTATTTTACATTTATGTGGATGATAAATTATTACATATGCATGTGTTTACTTTTATTTTGATGGTATTTAGATTGAATACAGCTTAACTGTTTTATAGCATTGGATGCCATAACTCTTAAGCATAGTTCAAGTTGATAATTTACCAGTTAAAGCATTCATCTAGAGATTGGGATGTACTATATCCCACCTAGTATCACATATTTTTTAGTTGATCAATGAGTAATAAGTTACAAAGCATTAGATTAGAAGGTAATTTCTAAATTGTTTTCAAAGGGTATAACCATTTCTCCTCTCTGGTATATTTTTAAATTTGTCGGTAAGGGTAGTGGAGTAGTAGAAAGAATACCAGGGGGAGGAAGAAAAGAGATTTGGGCTCTATTCCTGGCTCTGCCACTAATTAGCTTAGTCATGTTGTCAATTACTGTGCCTTTTAGGGAATGTTTTAACTGTGAAATGCAGGATTTAGTACTATAAAATCATGTAAATCTCAGCTTTAAAAATCTATAAAGGAATATGTTATTTTACTCTGAATTACTTTTCAATTGCTTTTGTTCTAAAATGAGTAAAGTTAAACAAACCATTTTATAGAGTAGATGAAATGATACTAATCTACCTTTAAGGGACTAATTTTATGAATATGTACATAATAATTTGAGAAGCAAGATATTTATTTTAATAATTCTGTGCTTAAAACATTGCCTTTAGAAAAATTGGTAAACTACATGAGAAAAACCAAGCACATTATATTTTATTCATATCTTAGTGTTATTATCCAAGTTGATCTCAAATGCCATCCCCTTTCCCTAATATTTATTCCTTCCAAACTGTCTAAAACTAAAAAATTCTCTTATTTGGAATGTATGTAGAGATGTGCCACAGCTTTTAGTAATTCCAAGAGGTGTTTCAAACATTTTGTATAATGTCAATTTTGAATCAGGTATATATCTATATTGTGTCCTTAGATTATAATTTTGACTGAGTGGATATTGCAAAAGTACTAACCTATATAATACAGTAGGTTGTAGAACAGTTTCATTAGTGATTACATGCTTTTTAAAGATGTTTTAGAGAGTTGAATACATTAAAATATATAAAAGCATTTAAAAGAGTACCTGGCAGATGGCAAACTATCAGTTATTAGTTAGTAAATCAATCATATCTGGAGTGCATCCTTACTTTATATGAAAGTTCCTAATGATGACAAAGATGATAGATAGATAGATAAGTAAATAGATAAACCAACAATAAAGAATCATTGTATGTGATGGCCAGAGGGAAGAGGGGACAGGAGCTGGTGGAGGTGGGCAAAGGGGTGGGAGAATGGATATATCTGTAATACTGTCAATAATAAAAATAAAGTTAAAAAATAAAAAATAATAAAGATTTGTTATATGGTTAGAAGGAAAATTATTTGGTTTATTCTTTAGGACTTTTGAGATATTTAAGATAGAAATGCTTATCAGGTAATTTGCTTTACCCATTTGATGCATATTAGTAATTATCTAATACTGAATTTATTCAAGGGCTGAAAATTTATAGAACATACAGGCCACGAACCAGGAAAACTACCAGTTGGAGAAAGGGCTTTATTCATGGAAGAAAGGTACAATGTAAAGAGTAGATGGTACCTGTCTTGACTATTGAAATTTAGATGAATCATTTAAAACTTGTAATAGCTATGTTGGAAATTAATGACAACTCTTACTCTGCTACTACTATGCATTTAATTATCACATGGTTTTTAATTTAGCACTGTTCCAAAGTTCACACAAGGCTTTGTTTTTAGTCTTCCTTATGATCTTTAAGACATTAACTTTTTAAAAAGGCTTTCCTATATTATTTTTCTGCAGTATGACTATGTTATGTTATTTTCCTATGGTAAAACACATTCAAAATATTTCATTCTTTAGGATTGCTTATAAAATTTTACAAAATCAAAGTGCCTGATGTAAAATTACTTGAAAGACTGGTTATTGTACTTGTTTAATTTCAGTGATGTCATTTTTTTGGGTATATGATTACCTAACAATTACTTTTGCTTGTGCCCTTTTTAATATTTATTAATGAGCTAGACAAGATTTTACTTTAACCTTTATGAATTCTTGGTAGTTTTCAGTCTTTTGTAAATAGAAAGTTATTAATACTGAAAATTTTATTAACAAAAAGTAAACTTAAGACTGTATCAGACAATGCATGTCTAAGGAAGCTAAAACCATAACGTGAAGTATCTGCAGCTGTTAAACATACAATAGAGAACATCACTTCAGGGAATGGAAATTTAGACGGATGACCTAGGCTTATTAATTCTCTAGCCTTAAACGATTTTCATGCCTACCAAAAAAAAGAAAAAAGAATTTTGTTTCTTAAGCTTTCACTTGATAGAACGAACCATTAGCTGCCTGGCTTCCTGTACTCTACAATGGAGCCTTGTTATAATATCCAAGGGATCTGAGCCAGTGGATCACCTTATTGGTGAAACCTCCTAAGAATGAAGTGCTTTCAGTAACTAAACTCTTGGACTAGGTCCAAAACAGCCCATCTTATACCAAATTCCACTCTATAATGAACGAGCTTCAATGTATTAGAAAGAAAACAAAAGCTGTATGAAACTTACTATTCCCAGAAATTAACCTTTGAAAATCCAAGGATAAATACTGATTAAAAGGAATATTTATTAACAAGGCATAGTCATGTAGATATCGTACTATTCTTCATAATTGATTTGTATTTTTTTAAATCTTGGTCTTTTCTAAGCAGTTTCTATGATTTTGATGCTCATGCTTTTCCCCAAAATTTCATCATTTCACATTAAATTATTTTACATCAGTATTTACAAAGCTCAATATTAAAATGTTTCATTTGGCCTCTTGCTATTATAAAATATGAGATTGTATAATTGGAGTATCATTTATGAAAACTAAATTAGATGCCATCATTTATATATGATTCATAGTAGTTGAAAAGATTTAAGGATATTAAATACTGATAGTTATTTTATATCAAGTATTACCTAGGTATATTTTCTCTTTTATTTTCAAACTGCCTTATGGTATTCATACTGTAATATTAACCATTCTTTCAACCATTGATCTCTCTTATGTGTTGTAAAAGGACACGAGTAACCTGCCTTGCCAGTCAGGACTTTATTGTATTATTTGTGGAACTGAACTATTACCTAAAGCAGAAGGAGGTAGGAAATATAAAAAATTACTTTGTGTCATCCTTAGTATAGGTTCACCTAAATTTCAATAAAGTAGATTGGTGTATTAATATTTTCATATTTTAGTCTTTAAAGTTGATTGTTAATATACATGGACTTTATTATCATTAGACTTGGAAACGTTCCAGTTCCAGCTGCTGACTTACTTTGATCAAGCTACTTAACTTTTTGGAATTTGTTTTCTCATTTTAAAATGGAGATAAATAATTTCATAAGAAATAAAACTTTATGAATACCAATGCAGTAGAGTACATTAAAGCTTTTTTAAACATCAGGCAAAGAGAAAGATAACAGAATTGGGGGTCAAAGGAATGAGTGTGAGCTTTGGCCCTACTATTTACAGAGTGGCCTTGGTCACAGTATTTTACTTTATTGAGCTTTGGCTTTATTTTCTAGTGGGGAAAGGTGAGCACTACCTACCTAAGAAAATTATTGTGAGGATTAAATGAGATGATATACAATATGTGAAAATGCTCTATAAATTCCGAAGTACTGTGCAAATGTTAGTTGTTAGGAAACTAAAACAATAATCTACAGTAATTGTTATCTCAGCATTGCACCTTCAAATTTGGCTAAAAAACACTTAGAGCTTCTTTGGGAAAAAAGTTCTATGTAGTTATTCTTTTACTAGCAAGACTTACGTATTGTGAAGACTTATTTTCTGTTTGTTTGTTTTTTACATTTCATTTTAGTATCTTAAAATATATATACATTGAAAAAAAACACACACACACAAAAAGTTACCAAAGGAACACTGAAATCCATTGAGAACATTCTATGTAAAATCCATAGGGCAGATCAGGGATTTTTTTTGGAGGAGGGGGGTGTCTTTGCTGTTTACTCTTATACTCCCAACACTATATTAACTGACTATGACTAAATAAATTGAATAGAGCATTCTATAAATGTATTTACTTTGTCATGATACTTGGCTCTCGTAAATACCTTTTTCATTTGACCAGTTTCTAGACTCTAGTGACCTTTCTCTTTCCAAAAGGAAAGGAGAAACAGAAAGAGAGAAACATAGATGTGAGAAAAACACAATCTGTTTTGTCCTGTATGTGCCTTGACTGGGTGGGGATGGAACCTGCAACCTTTTGGTGTTTGGGTTGATTCACCAACCAACTGAGCCACACGGCCAGGGCAATTTTCTTTAAGTTTTTACGAAAAAACAAAACAAAAACCAAACTTAAAAATATATTCTTGAGGGAATTCAGGATTTGCTGTTTTTTCCTGGTGTTCCCATCTTCTGATCTCTTAGCCTCTCTACTCTGGATTCTTTACTTATAAAGGAAGCAAAGCAAAGCAAGAACATAGCAGATACATCTATGGTGCTTTAGAGTGTGCCATGTAGTGTATTATAGAGCTTTCAAAGTCAACAATACAGGTGGTATTCTTATTTTATAAATGAGGAAAAGGGAACGTTATAATGAGAGCTCAAGCAAGGTCATGGAACTCTATCCACCATTTTGATGTATTTTTGTACTTTTTTTTTTTTTAAATATATTTTATTGATTTTTTACAGAGAGGAAGGGAGAGAGATAGAGAGCCAGAAACATCGATGAGAGAGAAACATCGATCAGCTGCCTCTTGCACATCTCCTACTGGGGATGTGCCCGCAACCCAGGTACATGCCCTTGACTGGAATCGAACCTGGGACCTTTCAGTCCGCAGGCCCACGCTCTATCCACTGAGCCAAACCGGTTTCGGCATATTTTTGTACTTTTATATTTATTTTAGTTTACTTTTGCCAGAATCTCTTTATGAAAGGCATAGTCTTAGAATTCTGAAAGCAAGCCTCATTCTCTTATTTTTACCCAAAGGAGTACTTTCCAGAATCATAGTATCTAGATATATATAAAAGCCTAAGCGACCGTTATGACCAAATGACCAGAACGACCGGTCGACCAGTTGCTATGATGCGCACTGACCACCAGGGGGCAGACGCTCAGTGCAGGAGCTTCCCCCTGGTGGTCAGTCTTCTCCCACAGGGGGAGCACTGGTCAGCCAGAAGCTGGGCTCACGGCTGGTGAGTGCAGCTGCAGTGGCGGGAGCCTCTCCGGACTCCGCTGCAGCGTTACTGAGCAGTGGCAGCAGGCACAGTGGGCCAGGATGAGTGTGAGTGGCGTGGTGCCGGCTTAGGCTCCTCCCTGGCCGCCTGCCGCTTAGTGCACTGCTACATTCCCATTAATCTGTGCACCAGGCCTCTAGTTTTTATATTAAACAAAAATATATTAACATTTATTGAGGAATATAAACTCAACAGTCCTAGAGCATAGTATACAGATCAAGGTCATTGATGGCAACACACCACACTTTGTTTTTAATGTAATTTAGTTCATATTAAATTGATTTCTTAAGGCATTCTTCAAGAAAAGTACAATTTTAGATAACCAAGAAATTAACACATTAAGATACTAATTAAAAAGCCACTCAATTATATTCTTTGTAACTGCATCCAACTAGAGAAGTGGTATCTGTTGGTGATACTAGGTTTTAATGACAATATATTTACTTGTTTTATTGTTTCCACTATGTGTAATAATTCTCCATTGAGTTGTCTTCTGATTGACAAACATACCTACACAAATTAATTTTAATAAATTACAGCAACCAGCAGTATATTTCTAGAAAATTAATATAATTGCTATTGTGATTTACTTTCCTTAAATCTCTTTCACCTTATTTCTTATAGGAGTTTTAAAAAAAGTTTTTTCCAAGAATGCTATGCTGATAAAAATCCAAAGAATCTTCCTAAATGTTAAATTAAGTTGCACAGAATCCCTTTGCCATTGCTTAACTGAGTCCGAGTACAGTTCAGAAGAAGAAAATTCATTTTATGTCACCGGGGACAGTGCTGCCCTTAACCATTTAAAAACCACATTAGTGGTTTATCAGACTTCAGTAAAGAATGAAGGTAAACTTATTTAATATCTATATTGTTTTCTTGTCACTTTGTAAACCCCTTAAACGTAAATAAGGGACCTTTTTATTTTCATGTGAATTCTCAAATGAAAAGCAATTTTAAAAATTGCTCTTTAAAAAATGTTCCACTGACTTAAGAATTGCAAAGGAAGAAAAATAAAACAGAATCTCAAATTTTGTTCAAAACAAAGAAATGTATAAATAAGAAAAGTCACATCAGGACAGATGAGGCATTGATCTATCTGTGTCTGATACTGACTCCAAAAAAGAAAAAAAACAAAACCACAAATCCAGGTCCCATGCATGCTTTGGCAGGCTTGACTTGGGTAAAGGATGGGCAGTAACTCATGGGAGCAACCTCCAGGGTAGAAGCAACTGGGCTCTACCAGCTATTCCTAAAAAACAATGGGCTAGATGCTTAGAGACAAACAAATGACCCGTAAACACAAGTGTTTTTACCTTTGCATAAATATGTCTCAGGTTGCCTACTGCCCTTGTACAATTTCCCAGCTACTTTCAAGTCTGCTCATCATGTTCATTTTTATTCTACCAATACCTGTTTCCAATGTTGAGTAGAAAGGACTAGGCCAAACACTATTCTTTATCCCAGCCCTACACTCACCTAGAAATAAGTTTGTCTACTCTTCCTAGAAGCAGTAGGGACAAGGCGAAGCATATTACTTCTGTTCCCAAATGCTGACTTCAGATAACCCAGATACCCTATCATTTACCATTTTCAACATCAGTGGATTCATCTAAACCCTTTTCTTCCCATTTAAAATCCAAGGGCAACAAGCTCTATGTAATATACATTCATTCAATACTAAATATAAAAGACCCTTAAAAATAAAACTTGGGATTTCTTTTTGTTGCTACCACCTCAAAGGTGGACCATTCAGGATAAGTCTGAATGTTTACTTTGGTTACAAATGTCTGCAGAAACATATGGTCAGATCATATGTTTCTAATAATGTTCACGTCAGTACTTTGCAGCTTTGACCAATTTCAATATTTTCTCTGGAATTGGAAATTCTTTCTTGTGGGAATGTACTCATTTATCAAAAAATGAATATGTGGTTGTTAAAATTTCTTGGCTTAGTGCAGTGTGGAAGATTGTAAGATAGTTTTGAGAATTACAACTTTGCATAGATTCATAGTCCTCTTTTACACAAATTCTTCCCGTTTCAACTGCATACACTTAAGCTTGAAGTGAAAAGCTATGTTGTTAATTTTTTTTCTGTGCTGCCTCCAACATCTCATTCTGAGTTTCCACTCCTTTTTTTAGTGACTTCCAGGCACAAATAAAATTCAATCACAAGAGAGGTTGGGGAGTGGAGTGTTTAAGAGAGGTTCTCTCTTGGTCTCTTGTCTCTTCTCTGCCATAACTGTACACCTTTGTTGTATAGTACCATTAATTCCTACAGAAGGTAGCAAGTGCTCATTCAACACCTGGAACTCTCATTTCCTCCATGAAAACTTGGAGTTTTACTCACTTTATACCAAAGGCAGTCCAACACAAAGAAGATTGTCCTTGCATATTTGAAATTTGTTCGGTGGATTATTCAACTGAAGAATATGGAGAAACTTTTTGTCCTGAAACCAAATATATAATAGTGATATCTATTATTGTTATGAATGTACTGTAAAAGGAATGCTACTCCTGCAGATGTATTACCATGTGAAAACTTGAGCAAAATTACTTTGCTATTTTAATTGTGGGAAATTACATTCTCATAGACTTGTATGATAAACAAATTTCTGTTTTAAACTTACTGGTGTTAAATTTATGAAAAGTCCCATTTCACAATTAATGTAGAACAATTTTATGATTGTAGAATATGGAGATTTATAGGGTTCTCAACTATACATAGTTTTATTTGAAAACAAAGAATTACATTTTTCTCTTGAAAACAATTTTGATTCTGAGGAAGGCACCAAGCCAAAGGGACTGAAGCATGAGTTTTGGATTTGGACATTTTAAATCCCAGCCTACTGCTTTCTGACTTTAATTTATAATCCCTGAAACTGTTTTCTCACCCATAAAATGAGGACAATAATAATTACCTCATAGCGTTGCTGTGAAAATAAAATAATGAATTTGTATAATAGGCATTAATAAATGTAAGCTATTACTCTTTTTTAAACTTATTTTCTGTACTCTTCTGTGTTAGACTAAAGATTGTAAAAGTTAAATATGTTAAAGTAATGGTTTTCAAAAATATTACCCAATCTTAACATCCACTCCACTTTCTGTTAGACCTTTATAAGTGAAATTGAGATGTTGAATCTGGTAGTTCAGGGTTTATGAAAGGCCTTTTTTAATTTTTTGTAGGCATGGAGACAGGTTTATCTTTAAATGCCATCTGGAATACGAAAGAATGTTCTTTAACCAGCTACTTACAGTGTAGAAATTGTATCAACCAGTCTCTACTCCCATGTCCTTTAATTGGTGCTGAAATAAGTGACCCTAGAAATATTGCTGTATCAAGGGTAAGTTTATATATGTTTGTTTTTGAAACTTAATTTGAAGCTTGCTTATGCATAACTATACCTATGTTATGATGAAGATATATGAAGTATTGCTATGCTGCACATAAATATATTAAGGCCCATTCTCTTTTTTAAGAAAAAATATAAAGTATGATATACTATTAAAGATGAACTATTCCTAGATGTAGTGCTTTAGTAAATTGGACATTAAAGCCAAAGTAAAAAACCACTTGGTGTGGCTGCATAGCAAAATTAGATACATTAAGTTTCCACATTGCAGTGAAATTACACTTCAGAAACTTGCACTATTATTTTGTCTTACCTCTTTGTGTGTTTTTTAATCTGCTCATTTAGGCCTAATCAGGATTAAATATACATTGGAGACATGACCCAAAGATTAGCCTTGTAAAATAAGGATCGGATTTCCACTCAATGTAAACTGCTAGTGCATATGCCTCAACCTAGTAGGTTCAAAGTTATCCTAATGATGTAAACAATTAGGTTATAAATACAATTCCACCAGAGTATGGAAGTACTTTCAGCAAATATGTTCTATGAATAAGACTAGGTATGTTCTTAAAGAACTATGAGTTACTTTACTTTAAAAAACATCAAGTCCCGGTAAATAAATGTATGTGGTAAGATCTTTAAAAATGTTTTCTTAGTGTAATATAGTGTGGCAGGTAAGAATGTAAACTCTACAGTGAGGCCAGTTGGATATCAAATTCTACTTCTGCCACTTTATTAGCTCCATAACCTAGAGCAAGTTACTTTTCTGTGCTTTAGTTTCCTTTTGTGCAAAACTAGGGAAGTAATAATACCTAACCAGTAGGGTTGTTACAAGGATTAAATGAGTTAATTCCTATAAACTACATAAAATAGTGCCTGGCATGATGCAAGAGCTCATGCAACAATCATATTGATAATAATGCTTTATTATTATTATTGATACTACTTTAAAAGTCTTTAGTTTTTAAAAAGTACAGGATCATTCATTATCTCAACATTAAATAACGTAAATAGAGGTTAGAACATTTATCTCTTTTAGTATTTAAAATGTCTGATGATGGCTAGGCGCATGAACAATTTAAACTATAATATTCCTGTTTTAGCATCATGAAATAATATCATAGTCCCTTAGCAACAAGAACTGCTCTACCGTTGTGGATTTTATAAGGTGAGTTTCAATACACATTCAGAGGAAATGCCATTTATAAGCATACAGTTAATTGAAGGCTCACAGGAAGAGTACTGTTCCTTTGTGGGCTGGCGAATTATGTCTTACAATGAATACTTCTCTGTGGGGAAAAAATAGAGCTTGTCTTTCTTCCAAGAAAGGTAAAATTGGCAGTATGGGAACATTGAAAAGCTCTGGCAGGGTTATATATTTTATTTTTTAAAATTTACTCTTCCCAATTGGAAATGTAATAAAAATTTTGTAACAAGATTGTGTTCCATTGTCTTGCCTGATAAGAAATTTAGACAGGAGGATAAGAATAACCTTATTTTGGCTGGGACAGCTGGGAATTAGCTTTCAAATATAACTTTCTCCTTTATAGTTATGCCCATGTCCTATCCATCCATATCACACACTCTTACATTTGTTAGGAAATTGTTAGCTGAACATAAGCATCACCTAAGTTACTGAGAGATAACTTACTTTTTCTTCTCTTTCCAATCGTACCTAACAGTAGCACACCAAAATTCAGATACTACTTTTTACTTGTTTAATATAGTGATCCTTTTGAAATAGTGAATTTATTTGGAAATCTAAAATCTGATCTGACTGTACATGCAAATTTACTTTGAAAGTGAAGGATTAGTTCTGTTTCTGGCATTATGAAGGTGGTTTTATAGCTATTGGTAGCAATCTTATTGATGAAAATAAGGTGTGCTTTAGAGATGTTAATGTTTTCAAGCCAAATACATCATATGTAACTTAATTGCTTGTGAAAGATACATTTTTTCATATTTTATAACCACATAGAGTGAACAAACTACATTTTCTCTGATTTATAGTTCTTATCATATCCCCTTTTCCTTTTATAGTATCGTTAAGCACACCTGTTAAATATTAGTTTTTTAAATTTTCTATAAATTTATTTTTCTTGTCTTATTTCTCTCATTTATGCCTATTTATAACCCTTCTCCCTGTTTTGCTACTTACTATTTATACCAAATTAGGGTTTGCTTATTAGTGTTCCCTAAATAACTGCATCAATACAACTTACATTAATTAATTACATTACTCCCTAAAAATATTTTGTGTTTTGTGGAAACCCAAAATATGGAAAACATTTGCATCCTATTTGGCAACTATTAAAAGAGAACATTGTGTCGATCCAAAACAAATCTTCCTCAATTAAGGCAGCACTTCTGCCTAAGAACTAAGCATACCCTGGGATCATTATGTCACTTCCATAATTATATATAAAAGGCTAAGCAACCACCCGACCGGCGGGTAGGTATGAGGCACACTGACACTCAACACAGGAGCTGCTGAGCTGTGGTGACTTGGCAGCAGCGGTTCTCGGGTGACGCACCCCAGAACCAGAGAGGAGGGAGCCCGATTCCTCACGGGGCTGCATAATTCCACCTTCGACCCGTGGGTTATGTTGTTGCTGGGGCACTGTCGGCCCCGTATCTGGTTTACTGAACACTTGTGTTTGCATTCCGCACTCTGGGGCTCCTCGGGGGGTGTTGGAGAACCAGTTTCTACCCAATCCCCGCAGGCCAGGCCAAGGGACCCCACCTGCCGGAGGGACCCCACTCACTCCACAGACACCCTTTGAGCAGCAGCGCCGCCCCAGGTGTGGCTGGCTGGGAAGGGACCATAGGAGGTTGGCTCCAGGGCATGTCTGGCCCAGCCCATCTCACCCAGTCCTGCCCCACTGGCCACCTTCTAATTAATTTTCTTTCAATGAGTCTGTGCACTGGGTCACTAACACTGTACATCTATAAAGCATGATGAAGGATGAACTAAAAATCTCATATTGCATCTTAAGGTCAACAAGAGTAATGATTCAATAGAGAATTGGTAAAACCTTGCTTTCTTTCACATCTCTCATGATTTAAAAATGCTCTTTTTAGCTCGGCCAGGTGGCTCAGTTGGTGCTAGTGTCATCCCCTATACGAAAAAGTTTTGGGTTCTATTCCCAGTCAGGGCACATAACTAGGTTGTGAGTTCAATCCCTGATTAGGGCATGTGTGGGAGGCAACTGATTGATGTTTCTCTTCCTTTCTCTCTAAAATCATTGGTAGTAATAATAATAATAACCCTATACAATAAAAGCCCAGCGACCGAATGGTGGAAGGACCAGAACAACCAGTCAACCAGTTGCTATGATGTGCACTGACTACCAGGGGGCAGATGCTCAATGCAGGAGCTGCCCCCTAGTGGTCAGTGTGCTACCACAATGGGAGCACCACTTGGCTGATGGGGATGAGCAGCTGCTCCCGGTGGGAACCCTGGGCCGATGGGCAGGAACCTGGGCTGCGATCATCACCTCCTCACCCTGGGCTCCTCCTCCTTCCTGCCGCCTCCTCCGGATGCCCGCAGGCTGTGCAGCACTGCTGCCAGGCTCACAGAGCTGACCCTGGAGCCTGGGAGGCGGGTTCGTGGCCACCGCAGTACTGAGGCCTACTCTGTTGCCTCTCAGTGCTATTGTCCCTGGGCCCGGCCCCGACTGGGTCCCCTGGAGAGGTGAGTGCTCCAGCTCCGCGGAAGATGACAGACCAGGGAGCAGCCACTCAGAGGGTGGGTCCACAGCGCTTGGTTGACCAGGATGAGTGGCGCTCCCACAGCGGGCTGATCCCCGCAGGTCACGCCTCCCACCAGTGCATGAATCCCGTGCCCCGGGCCTCTAGTAATAATAAAAACATATCCTTGGGTGAGTATAAAATGCTCTTTTAAAAAAATATACACTAAAATATATATATATACAAACACACACAACACACACACCTCTCCCTCTCCCTTCCTCTCTGAAATCAATGAAAGTACAGTGGGGCCTTGACTTACGAGTTTAATTCGTTCCAAGACCGAGCTTGTTAAGGAGCTCATTAACTCAAATTACTCTGTCAACTCAATGCAAAAAATCGGCCGAGAGACAGCTGGTATCTCAAAAAACTCGTTAGTCAGGACACTCGTAAGTCAAGGCCCCACTGTACTTTCATTGATTTCAGAGAGGAAGGGAGAGGGAGAGAGAGAGAAACATCAATGATGAGAATCATTGATTGGCTGCCTCCTGCATGCCCCACATTATGGACTGAGCCAAACCCAGGCATGTGCCCTGACCGGGAATCGAACTATGACCTCCTGGTTCATAGATTGATGCTCAACCACTGAGCCACACCAGCCCGGCAAAAATGCTCTTTTCAATAATTCATTCTTCACTCATTTCATTAAAGTGTCAGAAATTTTGTTTGTTGTTATCCTTAGAATTAATCTTTTTAAACTTCTAGATTCTTTAGAAGATATCTTGATACTGTTGAGAAACCATTCACACGGGTTTACTGATCTTTAGTGAAAGGATTAAGCAATTATACTTTATTATACATTGATCATCTAAAACTTTCAGTAATTATTTTAAATAATTGCCCGATTCAAATATATTGGCTATTTTCTCCAGTGAGTCAATTTTCTACATGTTTGTCATTATGCAAATCTCTTAGTACATTTCTATTTTAATCTTAAAACCCTAACACTGACACCATGATTTCAAAATAACCACTTCAAATTTTTCTTAACACACTGCGTACTGCATAGAAATCTCTAAGACATACGCCAGGGACCACACGTTTTGGGGCAAACTGCACGTTATTTAAATCATCATAATGCACTTTAGGTGTTGTTTTTCAATAATTATAACATTTTTATGTACAAAAACAAACAAAGTTCCTAGTACTTTTTTAACGTATGGTACTGCGTAAAACATTTTCCTCTATGAAGAGGGACCAAACAAAATTTACATAAGTATTTAGATTCGCTCCTTTTTCCA